CCGAACCAATATCCGATACATCAAAAAAAAAAAAAAAAAAAAACCAAAAAACTCGATACATCCACTTAAAACACACAACGAAATGTGTCAATTATAAAATGGAACAAAAATCGAAAATTGCACGCATATAGTTGGGACTGTCGTCCGCTGCCATGGAACGTAACAAGACTAAGGAACAGTTGGAGGAGGAGAAGAAGATCTCGTTGTCGTTCCGCATCAAGCCCCTCGCTATCGAAGGCTTTGGCGAGCAGAAGCTGCGTGAGAAGGCCCAGGAACTGTGGGAGCTCATCGTCAAATTGGAAACTGAGAAGTATGACTTGGAAGAAAGGCAGAAACGTCAGGACTACGATGTGAGTAAATCTCTATATAGACGAATGTAGACAGTGCCTACAATAAGTTCACATATGCCCGCAGTTGAAAGAGCTGAAGGAAAGACAGAAGCAACAGCTCAGGCACAAAGCCTTGAAGAAGGGTCTCGACCCAGAAGCTTTGACTGGCAAATACCCGGTAAGTGGCATTACATATATGTATTTCAGATCGTTCAGTTATTGACCATATCACTTTGTTCTGTTTATATAGCCCAAGATTCAAGTCGCCTCCAAATATGAGAGACGTGTGGATACCCGCTCATATGACGACAAGAAGAAGCTCTTCGAGGGTGTAAGTATTCGGTTGGCCTTTGCTGAGAGTTCGCGTTGGCCGTGGGTTTGCTTACGAAGAACTTCTAGTACAACCAAAACAATGGATTCTTTTTTTTTTGTACTCTTCTCTCTCTCCCTCTCGACGTTATTATCTAATATAGGGCTATAATACGGTGTATGCGGAAAACTTAGAAAAGTCATGGCAAGAGAAACAGGAAAGATTCACTCAGCGCACAAAATGTAAGAGCGCAAAAGTGCAAAATGTTGCGAACTGTCTCGCTCTCTCTCACTCTCTCTCTCTCTCCGTCTGTTGAATATCTCAATGTTTATATATTTGTCTATTCTTTTGTTATTATTTATTATCACTTTTATATGTCTTTGTCCTTTGTACTGTTCTGTACTATTCGTACCTGCATACATGCTGTGTTCAGTGTTCTGCCAAGGGCACCGCCAAAGTGACCTGACATCCAAATCGAAATCGAGTCCATTGTGTCCACAATACAATCATTAGACAGTCAATCAATCAATCAGTCAGTCAGTCAGTCAGTCAGACAGCTAGCTAGCTAGCTAGATATATAGATGGGGCTGCCAGGCACACGATATGCGGTTAACGAAATCACACCTAACGTCTATTCTCTCTCTCTCTCATCCACTGTGTTTTATCTCTTTCTATGTTCTGTTCACTGTATTTTATAATTGTTGTCAACTGTACTTGTGTGTGTTTCGTACACGTTCGCCACACACGCATACTATCTAAACACAAACATACGCTAAACACACACTCTTGGGCGGCACAGGGCTGGGATGAGATCAGCAAGGATGTGAACGAGAAGATCTGGAACGAGAAGAAGGAACAATACACCGGCCGTCAAAAATGTATGTACACACTGCCTCCATTGTCCAGCCCAAACAACACTTGGCACTGTACTGTAGCTGGTACTATTTAGTCTGGTATTACTGTACCGCAGGGAGCACACTCTAATCGTTACATCCATTTTGTTCATTGTCGTGCCATGATTTCCATGTCTCTATGTGCCTATGTGCCCAGATAGCTTGATACTGATACTGATACTGATTTCCATATTTCATCCCATCTATCCCAATATAGCCAAACTGCCAAAGTGGTTCGGCGAACGACCAGGCAAGAAGGCCGGTGAGCCCGAGACACCCGAGGGTGAGGAGGACGCCAAGGCCGATGAGGATATCGTTGAGGATGAGGATGAGGTCGAGGAGGAGGTCGTCGAGGAGGAGGACGAGGAGGCCGAGGAAGATGAAGAGGAAGAGGAGGAGGAAGAGGAGGAAGAGGAAGAGGAGGAAGAAGAGGAGGAGGAAGAAGAGGAGGAAGAGGAATAAATAAATAAATACAATTTTTTCGTAAAACTACATTTAAACAAAAACCAAAGAAGAAAACAAACCAATGCCAACAATTTTAATAAACGTAAATGAATGAACTAAATACTCATTATTAGCTTATTCACACTACTCCAGAACAAGCAGAACATGAGAATTACCACTTTTTTTTATTGATCAAGAAATGTACATTTCTTCCAAATAAAACATCATCAACACCAATTAAAAGAAAAAGTAAAAAAAAGAAGAAATTAAAGTGTTATACCATCATATCTATGAACAATATTTTCTTTTTTCCAACTTAATGATGTTTGAATGGGGCTGCAGCGGTGGTTGGATGATCTTCAGCGATGATTGAGTGGGCAAGTAGTCGGTGGGATGTTGGATTGGTATTGCTAATATCTTCTTAAGGCACATACAACAGATACCAGTTGAAATTCCTGCTTATGATTCATATGGGAATAGCTTTATGCTGATATATCATAAGCGGCGGCATTTTTGACTATATATAGAGTATGCTGTAGCTGTATTTTGCGTTAATTTCTGAGACTTGATTTCATTTGAGCATTGCTGCAATACTTTAAGAACTAAATGCATCAAGTTAAGTTCAGAGATTCTTGCGTAGGTTAGTATTGGAATAAGGGATATATGAAATAGAATTTTGATATTTAAGGGTCTAAAGACTTTGCTACTAGATACATATCATTTCTCCTATGGATTGATGCGCGAGAAAAGGTTTACTCAACTTTGGTTTTATTACTTATTTTTGTAGCTGAGCATGGAATATTTATTTGATTGTAACCTAACAAGGCGCACTAATCAGGACGCAACTTACGTAAAAAACGGAATAAAGAAAAATTTAAATAAATACACCAAAATTTGACATAATTTTTAACTGTTATTATTTATTATTTGTATCTTTTTTTTCAGTTTAGAATATATTTAATATATTTTTTATTTTATTTTATGTTTTCTTTACGCTTTCATCCTTCTCCTTTTGCCTGCTGCCCTTGTTCTTGTTGTTGTTGTTGTTGTCTTTAATAAATATTGTACAATTTGCTTAGCTTATCTATTATTTTGCGTGTGTTTTGTATAACTATGTTTTGTGGCTCATGTGTTTCTTATTGGTTTAATGACAGTTCTCGGTATATTGTATACATATATCATTCTACTATTTCTCATGAATTCCCATTGGATCTGGCAGCGTGTGCACGCGAACAGCTTTGTTACAGTTTTGAGATAAATACATCAATTTAAATTTGCTAAACATTCATTAAGATTCATTTAGTTACACATTTGTTATATCTTTCTTTCTTTGTTTTTTTTTTTCATTTAATATTTATTTTTTATGCTTATCCCTTTTTAAGTGTATTTGAGCTTTGATTGTCTGTCAGCTGCAAGCACGCTGCTTCCCTTCACACCCACAATTTGTTGTTGTAGTCGTTTGTTATGACATTCACTTATATATGTATGTACATATGTAGTCGTAGCTATTTAATGCTTAGATATATCGTATGGGATATTGGGTATATATTTAAAACATAGTTTCCCCCTTAAGAAGCTAACAAAAATAGTTTACATTTAGATTCACAATTGATTTACGCACACAAATACAAACGCCTGTGCCACGAGAGTGAGGCAGACAGCAATATATTTGACAGAGCTTTTTTTTTTTTTCGTTTCTTCTATAGTTTTTCTGCTGTGCTTAATATTTTTTTATTGTGTGTGTTTTTTTTTCATATTTTTTCCATTTATTGTCAGCAATTGTTTATTTTTTTTTTTTTGTTTTTAATATTTTTTAACCCGGCGCAGAAATAAAATAGTTTTGACTAAAAACTTAAACAAATTGCCATAGACTTAAGCTAACGATAAGTACAAGCTTGCTATCCCTTTCGCACACACACACACAGAGAGACACACGCATACACCACGCACACGAGCGTGGGGACGGAGAGCAGGGCATCGACTGTGTGTGTGTGTGCGTGCGTGCGTGCCACAGTGGCTGCTCTAAATAAACGTACAAAGGATGACAAAAAGTGAAAAAAAAAAAAACATTCCCCCTCGAGTTTATTTTAATTAGAATTAAGCGCTATAAACATCAACAGCTCTTAGTTATAAGGCCTAGGCGCATTTGTAGTCCTGTTTGTGTTTTTCATTTTGTTTAATTATTATTATAAATACATTTTTTTTATTTATTTAGTTTTTAAGTCACACATATACATGCACACACTGTACGATACTTGTAACTTTAACTGTAATTAATTTTAGACATTTATATGTGTATGTGTATGTGTAGTATGCATATGATGCTACAACATTCAGTCAATTTATTGCAACAAAAAAAAAAAAAATTCATTTAAAAAAAAAGTATTTATATATAATTATATTATGCTATGCTAAAAACTGTTTAAGCTTCTCCATTTCTTTTGCTTTGATTTCTTTTCTTTTTTTTTTAACTATAAATTTGTATAAGTATATGCACACTTGATTTGATGTATTTGAAATATCGTTATTAAAAGCTCTTTCAAATGTTATATCTTGCTCTTTTTTTTTTTGTTGTTGTTTATTATTATAAGATTTTAACATTATAAATGTATATAAAAAAAATATGTTTATATTTTTCTTTTATTGTTTGAGAGCTTGAGATTCAGAAAAAAAGGTAATTAAATTAAAAAAAAAATGTTTTACGTGAAAACTGTACAGAACTAATTAAATTAAACTAAAAAAAAAATTATTAAAATCAAATGTTACAGTTCTTGCAAAAAACTTTCGTAAAATTCCCCTTAAAAATTGGCGAAAGGCCATATAAAAATTAAATACATATCTATATATATTTCAATGTAAAATTTACTCGCGTTCCTTTAACGGTATTGTGGGGATAGTACTTAAAAGAGGAGCTTTAGCAGTGAGCGCGCCTGGCAACGATTTCTATTTTTATTCATTAATATTTAACATTATAATTTTTTTTTTTTTATCTATTTTCTGTTTTTTTTTTTTTTAGTTTTTTTGTTTTGGTGGTATTTGCTAAACATGTTTAAATTATGTTTACATCAATATTATGTATATATGTATGTATAAAAATTGTGTCTTCGATGCGGCAAATGTGTCTTTAAATCGCTTGAACGCATTACACACAGACACACACACACATGCACACTCGTGCGCAGCTGTATGCATACATATATACATGTATGTATATATATATATCTGCATATGCATATGCGTTTACTTGGTATAATACAATTTGAAATTGGTTTGCCAACATTTGATGCCATGCGCATTGTTGCTGTTGCTGTTGCTGCTGCTGATGTTGCAGATGTTGTTGTTGTTGATGTTGTTACTGTGTGTTGTCGTCAGCTCAATGCTTGCCGCGCGGCAATCTTATGGGTATATGCGGATATCATGTGTCCTCAAGTGCGCCGACATATTGCTTGCCATTGTTGTTATTATTATTGTTGTTGTTGTTGTTGTTGTTTTTGTTGCTGTTGAAGTTTGACGGCAGCTGCTTTATCGTGATGACATCCTTTGGCTTTTGCTGTTCCTGCTCCTGTTGCAGTTCCTGATTCGCCTGCTGTTGCTCTGTCATTATTTTATTATTATTATTATTATTTTCATTATTATTGTTTTTGTTGTTGTTGTTGTTATTATTATTATTGTTGCTATTATTATCATCCGTGTCCATCTGCAGCACCTCCTTCGCCTTATTTTCCCAGAGCACTCGATTGGCTTTTAGCTACAGCAAAAGAATAAGACGAAGAACATGAGACATATGACATATTAGACAAAAAGATGAATACGATTTATAGACACACACCAGTCCCCCTTCCCCACTTACACATATGCATAAATAATACTAGACACCCATGCACATATGCAAATACATATGAAAATGTGCATATTTTTATTTGAACATCATTTCTGCTTCATATGAATGCCGAGCGAGCTGCAGCTGCTCCGATTATTTATAGTCTGTCATTTATGCATCATTGTTGTTGTTGTTTTTGTTGTGGCTGCATTGCACATTAATGGGGGCTTAGTCTAGAGTTTGGCCACATCTATGCTCAAAGGATTACGCTGGCAGCCCCAAGGTAAGTGCCTCAGCCCTGACAAGCGAATTAATCGTCAATCAGAGCAGAGCCACAAGCATATTGCACTTATTAAATCAATACGCTCTCTATGCAATCCAGCTAGATTTATGCAAACATACATACACGCATACACACACATACATATATACAGATATTTCAATTGTACATTGATTGGAGTTGGCAAAATTAATTGAGCATGGCAAATGCTTTCATGCTCTGGCACGTCGCACGTTGGCTGCTGTCATTTAACACGCTTGTTCCATTAATTTTTAATTTAATTTCTCTCTTCATTTATTTATTTATATTGTGTTTGTGCACGAATGACAAAATTTTTGATAATGTTGAGCCAGGGTCGTGGGGCGGCAGCGCGATAAAAATGCAATTTATTTAAAAATTTTTGCAATTAACATAAATTACGCACATAAAATATAATTGGCGGCCTTTCAATTGATTATAATTGCAGTTGACGCCCTTAACATATATGCATATGTGTATGCGTGTGTGTGTATTGAACTGGCAACATTTATTGCTGGCATCTCTGCTGCTGCTGGTGCTGCTGCTGCTGCTGCTGCTGTTGGCATTTCAATTGCTTGCAAATGCAGCAACCGCACAGGTATAGAGCTGTCTGGCTGCAGCTTAAATTGGCAGTTATGTCGAACCAGCCCAGACCCACCGGAACCACTCAGCCACCGCCGAACATTTCATCTGTGAAAATGCAGAATTTCGTGTTGTGACAGCTGCAACAGCAGCAGCAGCAACAGCAGCGGGAGCAACAACAGGAGCAGCGTAAAAATCAAAGCTGCAGTCGAAATCATTTCAAATGCAACGCTTTCAACCGCAACTGCAACGGCAACAGCAAGTGCAATTGCAGCTGCTGCAGCAACTGCGACACGTGCAACACCTGCAGCTGGCAGGCAAATTCAAGCGGCCAAGAGGCAATTCATGCCACAGCAGCCGCTGTCGCTGATGTCGCTGCTGCTGCTGCTGCTGCTGCTGCTCCTTGTCTGTCTGTCTATCAGTTGCTTGCAAATTTTAATTTATGAGCAGTCCTCGAGCAAATGTCGGCCGTTTTCAGCTTTCAGCTTTTAGCTTTCCAGTTGCAGTTGTCAAGCCTCAAGTGCATCGCCAGCCAGGGGGCGGGAGCGGGCGCGGGCGCGGGTGCGGGCACTCAGCGACTCAACAAAGCTGCTCTAATTAATTAGCCGCTAATTTAACGCGTCTGTGGCAAGCAGCTGTGCAGGACTCTCAACTGAACAGGATATGCCTCTAGGTTGCCACACAGTGGCAGCAGCAACAGCAGCAACAGCAGCAGCAACAGCAGGAGCAGCAGCAGCAACTGTAGCAGTTGCATGTAATTTATTATTTGCCTCATAATGGAAAATTCGTTTGGCTTCCCGGGCTTCCCGGGCTCGACGACTAAATTGCAACAAGAGCTATTTAATGCGCTGCGCGTATAGAGCCATAAATATTGTAATTTATATTCATATATATTTTATATGCAAGCACACACACACACACACACACGCAGTCATATATGCTTATGGTATATATACATTTATATATGCTTATGTAAATCTGGAAAAGTCAGTGCTTGCAGCATTAGCTGCATTAATGAACAACTCGGATGGCTCTAGTTGAGAGTATACGGCGGGCAGATACCCTGAGAGCTCAAAGCTCATGTGACTCTACCAACACCGTCCTGTGTGCGGTTGGCAAGCTAGAAAGCTTGCCATATGCTTAGCATATGTTTTCCATATTCAATAGAATATTTCTCACTTCATTCATATATTTAGCACCTTGGAAAAGAGCACGGACAGACAGATGAGAGCACTCAGCTGGAATATATGTACATATATACTCTACAGGGCTATGCCACGGCAGTGGGCCTTCAATTATTAAAGCCATAATACCCTGAATTCCCATTGACAATGTGCTCGGGGCGTAAAAAATGCAAACCCACAAATGAATGCAGAATATATTTATATGTGGGCATACTCTATATGAAATATATGAAATATATAGTGTGTATATGTATGTGTGCATGCATATAAATTGCCTAAGTGTGCCCTAAAGTCATGTATCTGATTCAACAATGGGTAGCCAAACGTCATTATTATCCTGGCTATCGATATGGCAGCACAACATGCATATGCACCAGGCATGTGTCCTGTTGTGTCTCTCTCTCTCTGTGTGCGTGCGTGTGTGTATGTGTGTGTGTGTCCTCAGGAAGCAGAGCTTCAAAAACCACAGCAACAACAACAATGGCGACAATAGCAGCAGCAATGCATGTTTAAGTGCCTGGAATAAATAAAAATACAAAACGAAAAAAAAAGAAAACAACGAAAAATAAAAGAAATATATATAAAAATAAAAAAATATATATATATATATATATATAGAACAAGTGCAAAAAAGGCGAGTGCAAGAAACAAACAAGCAAACAAACACAAAACAAAACAAAAAATGCCATATAAAGTCGTGTGTAACAAGTTAGAAAGGCTCTCTCAATCGCTCGAGTTGACCAGCTCAACAGATACTCTATAAAGCGCAGGATGTGTAAATTAAAGAGTTGGAGCATTGCAAAAGTTTTTAATGCAAATGACAAATTCGTCTAGTTTTTAAAATATCTTAAACAATTTAAGGACTTGAATTTATTTCAGTTTAAAGCATTGCCAAAGTCATCTCTCTCTCTCTTTCTCTTTCTCTTTGTGTACAATCGGACTACAGACAAAGCCAGTTGAGTCGATAGACCAACAGGCAACAGCAGCTGTAGCCGGCTGCATCGTAGTCCGCCCGCTTTAGCTGTGTAGTCCAGCTTTTTGTGCAGAAGAATAAGGAGAGCTCAACAGCACGTTATCTGCGAATATGGCCAACAATCGTTGTCACAAAGCAAGAGTGCAAAATATGGCAATGACAGAAGCCAACGGGAGCGACAAAGAGCCGAGCAACTGCAACAGCAAGCAACAACAACAACAACAGTGGCGGCAAAAAGTGAGCACAACAAAAAAGTGAGAAAACAAAAAATGAAAACGTGCGCAGCGAAAAAAAAAAAGAAAAAGAAAAAGCATGAGAGGATGACAATGAAGATGGCAACACAAAATGTTAACTGGAACGACAACAAAAAGGATGGCCGCCATGTTGAATGCTTTGGGGATATCCGGATCCGGACATGGCTGATCGGGGTGGCAGGCGAGAGCGTGAATGGGAATGGGAATGGAAATGGAATTGGAATTGGGTAATGGTCGAGAGGTTGCAGTGCGTGTGCGTGTGTGTGTGTGTGCGTGTGTTTGTGCCATTCCATGCCGGACCGATTGACTGAACACATCTGAGTGACGCTGCGACGCTGTCTGCCTGTCTGATTGTTTGTTGCACATACCTTAGATGTATTGTCCTGCACCCATGCATCTGGCTTACCGTAGTCCGGCGGATTCGCATACGGATCGTAGCCCAGCACGGAGAGCATGGGCGCAATGTCGGCCATGTCGCGCACCACATCGCCGGGTATATGGCCCACCCACTTGGACAGCGCCTCAAGATTGACCGGCTTGATGACCTGGTCTGATGACCGCTCCACTCTAACAAAAGTTGCGTCAGCAACAAAGTAAGAGAAACCGTTTTAGAATGTTGCAGACTCTCGCAATTAGCTGATGGGGCAACCAAATGCTGCGGCTACTACTCACTTGGACAGCGGCACACCGTTCGGCTTGTTGATGAACTCCTCGTGATGCAGCACCGCACTGTTCCACGGCACGTCCAAGAACTTTAAAATCTTGCGCATCCACTCCTCCGGATGCAGCACCAGCTGCTCATAGTAAACCTAAGAGAAGGCAGAGATGATCAAATGCATTTAGTAATTGCAATGGAAATAAATATGGAACAAATTGAGAAAAGCTGTTTAAATAAATAAATAGATAAATTAGCTAACGTTAAATGGCTTTTTTATAATTTTAGTAATATTATAAAAGGGTTATAAATAAACAAAATCATGTGAATATATATTTTATTTAATCAATAAAAACAAATTTAGAAAAATATTATTTTTTTGATTGCTTTTAGAGTTAAATAAAAAAAAATTGTATGGAAATAATTGTGATAAACTATTAAAATAAATAATATTAGAAAAAGAAATAAATTAGCTATTAACTTTTAATCATTATAGTAATATTATAAGCTCATAATTAACCAAAATTTAAAATATTAATTTTTTTTTTTTTTTTTTTTTTTTTTTTTTTTTTTTTTTTTTTTTTTT